TGATGTGGAGGAAATGAACTTAAACTACTTCCAGCCACCTCAGCCACTGCCAATTTATGAAGGAAGGCATGTATGTATATGTCGATGTATGCGAGGGTGGATACTATAGTCTTTGTCCGAACGATGGTGACGACCTACGAACTGAGGCCGGAGATCATATCCGGTCCAGAATATGAAAGCTTCCCGAGGAAGCTACGGAGAAGAATCAGTAGAATGCTACTTGAGATTGAAGATCGGTAACATGGACAGATACAGTCTGAATTGGATAAGGCGGGCCTTGGATAATGGAGCACCCCCAGCCAGTCGATTGCGCCCCTTGCTTTGTTTGCACCGTCTCACAGTGTCTGTGTATAAAGCTGCATCCATAGTCAAATCTAACCAGCTTTTTTGGTGCTAGCGATGAAAGAAGGGGTAGCACAACGCCGATAATTGGAGAAATCTTTTGCCATTGACTGGATGATAGGTGTCCAGAATTATAACTTTGACTAGACCTTGCTGAACTGAGCGTCTCCGGATATGTTGCATGGTAGCAGATAGACTGCGTGTCACCAACGGCAGGACGCATATAGCTTCCGTGGAATATACGTGGACTAGTAGTCATGCCGTCTGCGATCGCGAGGATCCGATGACGATGGTGAGGTGACAGTATATCTCCCCGGACAATCGATGGTTAAGCCATGTGTCCCGTAGAAAAGTACCAATTCCCCGCAAGTTGTACAAATGCGTCGGAAGTAAAACATTTTTTTTGATGAGATCGTCCACCTGTTACGACAGTGTGGGTAGCCCCTCCTTTCTGTTGGGTTTCCATTCACAATGGAGCATCAATGACGAGATGGACATGTGTTGAAGAACTGCACGTCAATAACGCGAACAATAGATGAAGAAAAGCCCTACCAATCAGTAAAGAGGATCCCGTGTAGCGGATTCATGTAATTAGGTTCAAAGGTCGAGATCAACCGAATATCGCGTCGCTCTGGCGTGTCGTGTTCATACATAGTTCGGTAGTAAAAGTTTGACATATGACTTTCTCCACGGTAAATCATGGTTGAGACTCCTGGTGTGTCAAAAACTCCAGTCGACTGGTCGAGGGATGTACATACATAAGCTCGGGCGAGGGGCGTCGAAGATGGCATTGACTGGTCGTGAATGGCTGCAGGAGACACGCGATGGAGCGGACAAGAAGTCAGGGTTGAGCCAGTCAGCAGTCTATGACGGCGAGACGCGACCGCTTCCATGTATGTATGTATGTATGTGTTATGTAGTATCATACCTCTACCGAAGTGCGCCGTAAAATGCGAACCACTCATTGATGGTTATTTACAGACCGTCAGCAGCTGAAAACTAAAGTCGGTTACTCCGCAAATTGTGGGTAGTCGTCAAATAGCATTACGATTCTTGAATATGCTAGGAAGAGGCTAGTAGTCTAGGGTTATCCGGCACCAGAGAAATCAAAATATCAAATGAGAAAAGTGACTTCATCATACGCTCAATAGCCGGTAATAAATGGCATGGATCTATCCATCGCTGTACTGTACTCCGTACTTTTGTATATATACAGAGGGATATCTTTTTCTAATGGAAGAGAAAGGAGTAAAAATAATCACTCGTTATTTTCTGCTGCAGACCGCAATGTGAAATGCTGGCTTACCTACAGTAGTGTAGTTTTCAGTGACGCAGCTTACACATTATGACCCAAGGATGTAGGTCAATAATGGAAAGGGTTAAAAAAAAATAGAGGTCACTGAGCCAAGGACCCGAGGTGTTCCTGGAGGGAGTCAATGGCTGGTGAGGACTGGTCGGTGACGAGGGAGATCACCCCACCGAGAAGCCCACCGAAGGAGCGCTGGTGCTGGACGCCGTGCAGGTTAGAGAGTTTAGATGCAGCCTTCAAGAGCGAAAATAAAATAAAATCAAATAAAATGGTAATAAAAATCAAATAATCAACTAATAACTATATCCTGTATAGATAAACAAAGGCTAGCCATTGAATGTATATTAGAAGATATTAAAGGGAATACGACCGTCAGCAAGCATTGCAACGTAGGATATGTATTTCTCAAGCTGGAATCTAGGGCTCAATGGGTCTTGAAAGTCAATGATTGTTATACCTTGATACGGAAAGTCTGGCTCCTTGGAAAGAAGAACGACGCAGAAAGCCGGAGATAATTAGTAGAAAGTAACCTTGTACCGTGTACGGCCGGTCAGTCAGTAATAGGTACCAGGTACCTTACTAAACGGCCGGAATTACGTACCTGGTCGTATCAATGGTATTAACTTTCGCCCTTCAGTAAGGGCTCCCCTCGATCCTGTATGGGCTTAGGCTGCACTAGGCAGACTTCCCTCCTAAGGACTCCGTACTATTATAATGCTCAATGCGATATTCTGCAAATCAGGACTAACTAGTAGTATGGCGACCGACCTCATTACGACTATTGTTGCGCCGCTGAGGATTGATGGAACTCCTATTCTCGAATTCAAACCTGTGTCCTGTATCATCCAGTAATTCAGTCTAGCCCCCTCCGCCCTCCATACCCTTTGATTGTGCCACTGGTGGTTGGAAATGTAGGCATGAGACAAGGCAAGGCGTCGTTTTGTCAAATCATTCAATTGTTTCACAAAGCACTGGGTATGGCATTCTTTTTTTTCCCCCTACAGTTCTAGGAGGCGCAAAGTAGGGTCCGTTCGTAGAACTCTCAGCCAACGCTGGTCGGCGAGGTGAGGTATAATTGAGACGGTGCTGAAACAAGGACCGAACCATACGCTTACCCGATACCTTTCAAACTACTATTACTACTAATTAATACTGGGAATACTAAACACGATCCTCAATACGGGAAAAGCGTCACACTTTACCATACGGTGTGGGCAGAGGTAACCTGCAGCGACTCTCGAGACTTCTATCTCCGACTCTGTCCCCATTTCTGATTCTCTCTCTTCTTTTCTTTTCCTCTACTACACCCGCCTGGAGAGAGATCACTCCTCCTCATTTTTTCTCTCCTCCTTCTATCTTCGCCTCTCTCCCTTTCCTCCTTCCCCCCCCTCCTCCTTTTTCTAGCCTCCCGCCAATTCTTGGAGAGATCTGAGACTGGTCTGCCGGCAAGGATACCGTTGACGGAATTGTCTATATCTGTCGACCCCATCTTCAGCCTGTTGCACTAGCTCTCCAGTCGAGCCGTGTCCGTCAGCTTCTTTGCTTCGACGTCCTCCTATTTCGACGTTTGTTAGCTCAAACGGCGATTCCCCTGACCGCCGGTGTCCGATCCGTGACGTCGACGTTAAGATCCCCTGATCTAGCTTCTGCCGGTTAGAAGAACGACCAAGAAGGGCTTTTTTTCCATCTTTCTTCGTCTCCTTTTCTGTCATAAGCGTTTTTTGTGTATATGATTTGTATTTTGTGGTGATTTCTTTGGAGGTGAGAGAATTTTTCATTTCCCCCCTTACCCTGGTGAAGCACCATTCCCCCATTCCTGTGTCAATTGTGTGTGTCTGGGACAAGACTAGAATGATATCTGCATGTGTCGTTGGTCTTTTATCGATATGAATCCGGTAAAAATTCACTGTGTGAATACGCCCAATGTGTTGGTGAATGCCAATGGTTCAAAACCGACAATTGCATAAGAAATCTTAATCGGTTGCAACCTTCAACACCTCCGAAACGTCATGCTCTCCTCTGGAGCAATTGGCCTCCTGCATATGGATTTCAACAATGCCTCACGATTAGACAATGGATAGATCGGGGCAGGTCGGCGACCGGTTGAGAGAACCTTGGATAATAAGAATTGGCTGGAACGATGGGTTCTCGTGAGGTTGGAAGATTAGGGTGTTTTCCAAACGCGGGTCCTTCGTTCTGGATGGAGTTTATCTCATCAGCCGTTCATATAATCTGCAAGAGGGGCTCGCATTCTTGAACGCTGAGGTGGTTCAAGGGGTCTTGAGGTGCTCTGGAGGGCATGGAAACTGTCAAGAGCGGGCATACTTCGGCTCCTACTCCAACCTATGACATGCCTCAAGCCACAATATTACCACACAATTGAAGTCTTGTGCACAATTCAAATAAGGGATTCGGAAAGACAAAACATCTGGAAAGGACTGAGTGGCTGACATGACTTCTTCCGGCTCCAGGAGACCGATTTTGATCTTCCCCCGATACCTTTTCGCTTCAACTTGACCTCACTCCCTTAACTGTGGAACTGGTCATTGAACGCTCCGTTTGCATTATCTCGGCCGTGTACAAGAAACCATTCATACACCGGAGAGCAAACTGTACGTCGTAACATTCTTGTTGCATTCTGACTTCCCCTGACGATCTCCCTATCCCTACATAGGCTCGTGCCTGTACTCCCCTTCCGCATTCCGGAGTATCCCAATAAGCTTGCAACCAAGCGCCGGTTCCTAGGGTGAAGACGTTCAGTCGTCCTTCGCCTTTCGAACTGGTATTCTACAGTCCACAGGTGACAGATCATCTCGTCTTGTCCCAGCCTAGATGCCAGACTCGCCGTCACGGTAAGGGTTGCACCGTGCCCTCTGCCCGAAGGCTTTAATCTGGGTTAGTACTCTTATCCCCGGGTATCCCCCTTATCACCTCCCAATACTCTTTTGACTTTTACCTTCCTTCATCAACCTTCCTTAACCTTTCATCTTTGCTTCATCCACCTCTCCTTTCTCAATTTCTTTCTCTTTGTCCTTTGATTTTTGCAGCCTGTCATTCTCTCAAGGCTTTAAACTTTTTTAATATCTAATAATAATTTTACTAACAGTCTCTCCTTTAGCTCCGGCCACGAAAGGCTTCAACTAGTTGTCCGGCTCCCTTGCTCCTTTCCAATATTCAGGCTTATCGTCTTTGCACTGGTCCTTAATATTCCCAACTACTTCCGCTCATTAATTCGAAATAATCTGGCGACTGTCATTCTCTTAATTCCGTCGTTTCCTGATAGACTCGCTCTGATCAGGTCCACTCTTTCTAATAATATCACCGTCGAGATCGACATAATTCGGACATCATGGCCTACCACAAGCGTCCTACGTCCAGCTATCAGCCTTGCGAAACTTTCTTTGTGGAATCGTACGAGGACTTCCCCGCGCCCCGTATGGATCCAAAGGAGCACGCGAAATTGATTGCTCGCGAGCGCCAGTATGCCATTGCGGATGAGCTGTCCAAAGTTGCCAGCGATGAGTTCCGTGATGATATTCTGTCTCACATGCTGGACATGGATGTTGGTGACCGTATACTCTAATTAACCCGAGTCACTCTGAGCTAATAATATCTCCATCTCAGGCATCTACCCTCCCTGATGTTGAATCGATCGATATCCAAACGGAGATTCAGTGGTTTATGCGCCCTTACTTGCTCGACTTCTTAATCGAAGCCCACACTGCCTTCCAGCTGTTACCATCGACCCTCTTTTTGACAATCAATCTCCTCGATAGATACTGCTCAAAGCGTGTGGTCTACAAGAGGCATTATCAACTGGTTGGGTGTGCGGCCTTGCTTATCGCAGCAAAATATGGTGACAAGAAGGATCGCGTGCCCACCATCAAGGAACTGAAATCTATGTGTTGCTCCCTGTATGATGACGACATGTTCACACAGATGGAGTGGCATGTCCTGCAGACTTTGGGTTGGACGATTGGACACCCAACTGTGGACAGCTTCCTTCAGATGGCTGTCATAGACACATCATACGACCCCGAGGTCGAACACATGGCATTGTACATCTCGGAGATTTCTCTATTTCACAGAGAGTTTGTGTCCAAACCATCCTCTGATCTTGCTAGAGCTTCATTAGCTCTTGCGCGGTGTATCCTTAACAGACCACAGCCACGCCACACCGAGTGGGCTTCACAATATGATTCGATGACGTTGGTGGGCTTGTCTCAGCAGCTTCATCAGCCTTCTCAAATTTTGTTCCGGAAGTATTCGTCGGCTCATTTCTCCAGGGTATCGAAGATTCTAGAGCAGTTCCTGGCTCGTCAAGCCTCGGCCGCTAGTTACACCCCAGCAAGTCCACCCTCAGACGTCAACGTCGAGTCCAAACCATACGACGGTGAGATTGGACTTGCTACTCCGCAGAAGGCTCCCCATCCGTCGAACATGCCACACGGTTATATCACGCCGCCAATCACACCCGAAAACGATGCCTTTGTCAATGGGGGGAACACTACCTTCGTGAAAGGGGTCTCAGGGACGAGCGCTTGCTCTCCCTCCCCTACGCCACCACCGAGCATGCAATATGTGGACTCTCGTGTATATCAGGAGGCCACGTTCACCCAGGGGCAGCAATTCCTTCAACCACAAATGTCATTCACCACTAGCTACTGAATGCAACACATCAGTTGAGGGTGCTTTCAGTCAATAGTGTATCAGTACATCAGTGGATAACAACATCGGTACATTTGGTTCATGCATAAGTGCTCGATCTGGTTTATGTCTATCATTGATATTCTCAATGCTCGACCGATCACTTATGTGGTCGAAACTTTGTTCTCTTTTTGCATTTTCGTTTTTCTAAAGGGCATACCCATTTTCTTGTGTTTTCATCCCTTGGGAGTTCCAAGTTGCATCTCATTCTTATATCTAGCATTGCAAGCGCGAGCCGTTCGAGTCTTAAATTGCATTTGCCTGTTTACATTTTTTTATTGAATCATTTCCTATTTCATTTGTGTGATCTTTCTTTCTCAGCCTTGTTGGAGTTCTATCCCATTCAGCGGCACCCAGGTGGCAGTTTGTGCTTGCTGACCTGAAGACTCTATATTTGACTCCCTTTGACCGAACTTCCCCCATCCTACTCAAATACATACACTAATGTGGCATAACCTCTCACCTCCCATGAAATATACACTTCTTTTTTCTTTCACAGGCAGAGAACTACGCTGTCTGCACCATTCGGAATCTTGGCTGATGGAGAGAGGTCCCCTCCAAAACAAAAAAGCAGAAAAAGACCGAAACCAAAAAAGACAAAAAAAAGCAAAAGCAAAAGCGCCTGAGAAAAAAAATCTTCCACGCAAAAGCTGCGAGGTAAAAAGTGTTGACATAGCTTTTGTTACCCCTAATGATTTGGACAGCGAGAAGGTATTTGGACAGGTGGATGGACTTGAGCGTTTCCGTGTCAGGTTGGACACATTTACCTCTCTGCTTTCTCTAGATTTCCTCTTCTTTGTTTCTACTTGGAACCCTACCCTTTTTTGTGGCTCCCAACAAACCACACGGGAGTGTCTTATTTTGGTGGATGAGCTGAGATGAGATGAGCATAGTATATTACTGCGATGAGAAGATCGTGGTAGAATTCAATACATGATACCTTATGAACCACTGTTCCTGTGTAGGATGATTCGTCTACCTTCGATGAAGTACGAGATTTAGTATCACGATTTCGATTGCATTCTGCGGAGTAGCAGGGGGCCCTTTCATTCCCTCCATCGACTAAGATCTACTCTTGCTCATCCTCCCGGGTAAGTATTCCGGCGTTTGATTAATGGCTCTTCCCCCCCCCCCCTCCTTTACTGGATCCCAAGGCATGTACGTATGTCCGTTTGTCACCCTGCCGTTCCTGGTCTGAAATGTACTCCCAGTCCTACGCCCTGGAAGTCCTTAGGGCACCGCGCGCTTTCTTGTCCGGCAGTTACTTGAAAATTGCCCCATTCCTCAATTACTCGACCCCATACTGAACAGGAAGTAATCAAGCAAGAAGCGAAGTTCAGATAATTATAATATATTATTATATCCGAAATTACTAAATATACAAGCATAGTTGCTGTCAATAGATATCACTAATTGCACAGAGATATAATCAAGGATAATGTAGTCCTTCCATCCAAAAGAGAGAGCAAGCCATCCAGTCATGTCGGGCGTAAGATGAGAATCCAGTGAGCGAGTTGAATTGGAATTCAGTCCAATGCCCAGCATCGAGAAAGAATCCAGGAGAGTGAGTGACATGACATGACCTGATGATGTGTACCCAATGAAAAAAAATATAAGAATGGTGATATAGCCAACCACCTGAGATTATTCCCTAATCTCCCCACGCTATGCGGAACGCCGGATCTGGATCGATCAATAGTAGCCAAAAAGGAAAGCAGAAAAAGATAAAAATAAAACAGGGTAATATACACGTGTTATAATGAAGGGAAGAAAGGGGATCAGGAACTGGCTCATGGTGTCGGGGGGCCCAACCTCCAAGTAGGTACACCGCTTGCTGAAGAAGTCTAATGGACTTCGCTCGGGCGGTGATTGCATGGTGAGATGCAAGGGTGCTGGTACCTTGAAGCTTCAATGGAAGGGCGACGACAACAGAGTTCATGCCAGTTCCGGGGGAATGTATCATGTGCTTTGAAGGATAGGGTGAAGTGGGTAAGGGATAAAAGGCGCACAAGGGCAATAAAGAAGAAGGCAAAAGCAAACAAACGACAACCCAAACTCGTAAAAGTACAGTGGCATCAGGAATATGTATGTATACAAGGGCATGGATGTATGAATCCGGGGATCCCAACAGGGGGGGACCTCAATGAATGAACGGTCAACCATGGGAGGGAACTAGCATCAGGGGCGGTCCAGAATGTAGAGCGAGAGAGCGTATCCGCCGATTGCCGGTCTCGAACGAGAGACGCGGAAGACGAGAGAAACGAGAAAGTTGCGCTGCCGATCGCTCGCCTCACTTTGGGAAAGCCGCGCGGATAATCAGCTGACTAAGAGCCCGTCTCACACCCGCTGACCAGCAGCAGGTGACCGGAACCCAAACGCTGGCACCGTTCGTGTGTTTACTTCCACCGCTGCTTGTCCCAATCGGATGGTCTTGTTTCGTCGTATATTTGTCCCCCCTGGTTATGAACGACGACGGGAGGTTGCGTTCGGCGTGGACCGGTGTTGGACCCTATGACACCAGAACGGTTCCGTTAGTGACAGCCCTAGTGCAAGTTGGAGATACGGCTGGGGTGCAGAACGGGAACCATCATGTATAGGAAGGGTCCAAGTAGTATAACATACCTCGCAGGTCTGTGACAACCACCCGGTCACCGCTACTGCCAGTGCTGGCCAAAGTAGAATTGGACTGGTTGACTTTGTGAGGCATGATGATGGTGGTGATGGTGGTGGTGGTGGAAAGATGTGTTATTATTGTTTGGAAAGTAGAGCGGATGGATTGTCGCGAAGGGAGTAGAGTAGATAAGAGGTTTGATATGATATGGATTACTCGAGGTAGAGAGAAGAGGGCGATAGAGGACGTATATAAGGTAAGGCCAGTGGCGGAGCAAGGCAAAGTCTAGAAGCCCAGGCAATCGTAGGCAGAACAATGAGGTCAGGAGGACGAAGGAGGTGTGAGAGATGATTGATTGTTTGTCACAGAAGAGTCTTTGAAGCTTGATTGATTGTCTAATGGTTTGAAGTGGGTTATGGGGAGCGGACGAGGGTGGCCTTTTGTAGGTTTCCTACAAGTATGGGGAAGTATGGGAGAATCTATCCGAAAGGGAATAGATTCGATCATCTTGGGAATTTAGCTTCGAAAACTAGACCCAAATTAAAAATAAATAAATCAAAAATCAGAAATCAGAAATAAAATAACAAAAAAAGGCAGAGAGACAGAGACAGGAAAAGGCACAGAACAGATCCAGAAAATAAAACTAAACTAGTCATAGGGGGCCCGCGAGAGATCGGTCATCTTGCAGTGATTCGAGCGACTATACCAAGAACAGGCGATGATGTGGATAGCATATTGGATGATGGGACCACTTCCAACGAGGGACGTCATCTCTCTCCCCCAATAATGCAATGAGAAATGAGAAATGAGAAATAAAAAAGACGATAATAATGCTCACTCATAATAACCTTCGACGCGAAGCAGACCAAGGTTCTGGAATCTGGGATCAGAAAAGGGTCCAAAGTGAAAGTTCCCTTCCCTTCATTGACTTTCGGACTCCACCGCCTCTCTTTTTGCGTTGACTGCCAGGGGCAGAAAAATACATCCCAAAATAAAATCAATTAAAATAAATCAATTAAATTTAGTTCGAAAAGACGAGGCGGCGAACCGGAGAGCCCTGACACCCGTCCCTGATTGGCCACTACCGACGCATCGTCGACGGGATGCTCGTAGGGATGATGGTCAATGATTATCTTCAGTCAATCAATCCATCAATCGATGACAGCCCTCGGTTTGGTCCGACTTGCCAGTTCGCTGCCTCCTACTACAATCTCCTCTGCCTGGCTGTGACCCAGGCATAGAAAAATGACGGCACAATGGCTCCAGCCACACGCCGGGGTCAGGCTTGTCAACGCCTGATGAGGCTGATTCAGGAACTAAAACCGAACTCTTCTTCATCGCCCTGATGTGGCGGTGGCAGGATGAGACGGGGAGCCAACTGGTCCAGAACAATAGTTGTAGCTTCGCTTGGAAGATCCTAATGAGATAGATGCCTAGAAGGAGAGATGATCCGTCGTCATTTCTGCCTCAGTTTCATCCACGCCAGTCCATGTGTCCAGAATGAATGATGCGTTGGTTGTATTTTACGCCCTGGAACCGGGAGGCCCATTTCCTATTGGCCCGTAGACCTCCGGGTGGTTAATTTACAGCGTCGTGTACAACCCCATACGCCACCGAGTACAGGTCAATCACCTGATTGCTATTTATATGGACATTCCTCACGACCACCCCGATTGTTATCCACATAACATACATCATTACTTGGATAAGGAACTGGAGAAGTGACTTTGAAGCATCACTTTCCGCACCATTTCGGAGCATCCCTCTCCCCCTACTCAAAGGCGAAGGTACCTTCCATAAGCTGTAACTCTAAATATGGTAGATCCCAACCGGGTTTAGCGTTTCTGGAACTCAGCTATGGGTACAAACGTACAAACTAAGCAAACGATACCCATGGTACTACGCGGAATTAAGTAAACACCTCAACCTTTTTCCACCCCGTACTAGGTAAGGTACTAAATGAGCTCAAGTGGAATCCATCCACTTCGTCTATTCCCCCCTTCGAGCGAGCTTCAGGTAGCTCCGACGGCATCAGGTCGGGTGCCGATACTGACCACTACCTACGTAATACATCCCATACTTCCACACCAGCATACGTGCATGTCTGGTCTGGCTCGCTCACAAACTACTAAGCAACCATTGCAGACGCCATATGCCACTTCATCACCCGCCAACAAAACACGGGGTAGTTTAATCCGTCCAGAGCGAACTGGAGAAAGACCTCCCCGTTCATTGAGACGCGAGCTAACCCCAATTCGTTTGCCTTACTAGTAGTACGGTTGGATGAAGTGCCAACTGTCCGAAGTAAAGTACGGAGGGAGGAGGTATTGTTACTCTCGCCCTAAAACAGTTTAGACTCCAATACCAGCTCACTAAACTAGCCCGGCTCGGGTTAGCCTACCTTCTTCTCTCAACCAGAAACAAGACGCAGAACACTCAATATCATACTACTACTAGTAGTAGTACTTTCGTTACCCCGGAGAACTTACAGATGTACAATACCAGCTAGTCCCCAAATAATTGCGCAAAAAATGAAGGTCAACCGCCATATCTATCATGCGGTGTACGGATGACAGTCTCCATAAACTACTATAAGCTAGTCGACTAGTAGAGCACCACCGGAAATGGAAGAAGATAAGGGCCTAGTCTAGTCTCGTTCTAGCCTGGATTGAGTCTTCGGGATGGGAAAAATGATGGGGAATGGATCCCTATCAGCTGATCGCTTCGTTTTCTTTATTGGGGCTCGTATTGAACCATTATTGTGAGTTTCACCGCTAGAATCGCTGCATTATTGCTGCTCTCCTCTCTCTCTCTCTCTCTCGATTTTGCTCGGGATTTCTCCCTTTGGGGGGGGCAGAGGGAGAGGTTGGTAATGATCATCGGAGAGTCAGTCGGGGTTTCCATGTTGAGGGGGTTCTGCTCGATACCATGGCACGACGGGCATTCCTGGAGTGGTGCCAAGTGTACCCATCTCGCTGTACGTAAGTTGATACTACGGTTTTGTTGGTCGGGATACTTGCTGTAAACTACTCCATACAACTCCGTACTCATCTTACATAATGAATGATTTGTTCGGCTTAGTCAGGAGCTGAGTCCATGGAGTGACCACCACTGGGTCGAGGTATCTGTATATCGAGAGGGTTAGGCAGTAACCCAGGCATTAATACATTCATGATGGTAGAAATCAAAATAAGACAGAAGAAAAAAAAGTACGATATGTGAAACACGAAGCCCGAACGCTGTAGTGAGGCACTCAATCACATCGACCTTGACGCCCAAACACCTAACCGGTGATACTGCCAGATAAGAGGTTCCCAGTCCATAGCAACCAATCTGCATCTACGGACAAACCATCACGGCCGTTGATTGCCTGCCCTCTTCATCCGTTCTTCCCACCCATTCATACTTCGTCGAATCCCCAGTGTTCTCCTCGTCGGTACGGGTGCCGCGCCCTGTAACATCGCCATCGTAGTCGTGTGATACGTGGTCGCTGGTCGGGCACCTCCAACAGGACCTTGAGGTCTTTTAACCTCGCTCGCTGCCCACTCCCTCCCGGCTTCGCCCTTGTCGGATATTTCCCTGCCCTCGTCACCACTGCGCAAGATCGGTTTCGCCGTGGGCTTTGAAGACATCGCCAGCCACGTGTAACGGTTGGGGTCCGACGGTTCGAGAATCGGACGGGCTGTTTGCAGGCGCTGCGCCTGTGGTCGATACGTCGAGAAGTTCGTTGGGAGCACGTTTTTATTTTTGCCCTCGGCCGTCGGCCCAATGGCATTGTTTCGATCGCCAGGGGTCGTGTGGCAGTGTGTCGGTACTGATTCGCTAGATTTCGGTTTGGGCTGAGACGAAGGCTTACTGAAGAACCCGGATATGCTCTTCTGCGAAAGGCCAACCGCACTGCGTCCAGATGTTCCGGTTCCTGTTGTTTTTGATTTGTTCTCGAACCCGAGTTCCGGCTTTTGTTCCTGCCTAGCGGCTGGGTTCGTCGCGATATACTCCCGCGCCGTCGAGAATCCAAGCGACATGGTAGTAGGCACAGACAAGTTCGAGCCATTCATTGTGTATGTTGACGCAGACATGTACGTGGTTGTGGTTGATATCGAAGATTCTCGGCTATACCGTGGTCTTTTAGCGCTAGGCTCCTCTCCATCGACTGCTCTAGAGCCGTCCCATCTAAACACAGCGTCCGCAGCCTCTCGACCGTCGACCGTCCATTGGTCATCCAGTATGGAAGGTAGTGAAACCTGACCCTCGAGCATAGCCTCGGAAGTCGGCCTCGGCCGCCGTAAGATGTCAGCGATTCCATAGACGATCTGTTCATGCAGATTAGGTCCTAATAACCGAAACCGTGATTCTATAATCCTTTCCGGAAGGAATGTTGATACATTCGTCGTCTCACCGCTGCGGGATTGCTCGAGGGGGTAACTCAGGTACAACAGCGCCTGCGCTCTAGTCATGGCCACGTAAAGCAATCGTCTCTCTTCGTCCGAATCCTCTGCACGTGAATGAGGGATAATGCCGTTATACACAGCTGGTACGAAGACCACCGGCCATTCCAGGCCTTTTGCGGCATGGATCGTGGAGATCGTTACTCTCTCCTGTGATTGCTCACCTTCCTCTCCCTCTTGCTGAAGAACCTCCGTGGAGAGCGCCACATTCGCCAGAAAGCGCGACAGTGCCTCTTCTCCCGGATGGGCTTGCTGCTGTGAGAGGCCTTGAATTTCCGGAAGGCTATCGTCCTGTTCATTCGCCTCCCCAGCTGCAGCCGTATCTTCCGCTTGGCCCAGAAGTTCCTCCACATTCGCCCATTTGTTCTCCTCATTGGTACCGTACGTCGATGTAAGATATTCTCGGAAGCAAAGCTTCTTGATGACAAACTCAAGAAGCTTCTTCGGAGCCGAACAGTCAGTGCATTCGAGGAGTTTCTGTCTCGACGACTCGATCAGACCGACAAAGGCACCTAATCCATGGCTGGTAGGCTTCGACAGAGTCTTTTCGGTCGACCTGCGACCTTGTGCCACGTCTTTTATGAAGTCCCAGAAAGGCTTGCTCGCTTTTTCCGCGCCACTCATCAACGATCGAATCGATTCTTCACCTATTTTCCTCGATGGAACGTTGATAATTCGCAGAAGCGCATCGGTGTTTCCCGGCTGGCTGATAACTCTCAAGTAGTCCAGAAGTAGTTTGATCTCTACTCTATCGAAAAAGCGTAAGCCTCCGACCATCCTGTACGGCATGCCCTGTTTCCCCATCTCCGATTCGATCTGTCTCGAAAGTGCGGCCGACCGGAGCAATATCGCAAAGTCCGAATACTTCAGCAACTTCCCCGTCAAGGCAATGCATCTTTTAATTTCGAGAACGATCCACTGAGCTTCGGCCTCTGCTGTTGGTAACTTTCGCAATACCGGCATCGTCCCTACACTATGAGTTGGCTGCAGCCTCTTAGCCGGCCGCGACGAATCTTGTTCAATGACATCTTGAGCCGAGCTCAAGATGGACCCCGAAGACCGATAATTATCCTCTAACAACACAACAGAGGTGTCGCTATACAGCTGCTGCATACGTGTCAAGTTCTTAATCTCAGCCGATCGAAACCCGTATATACTCTGGTCCGGATCCCCGACAACTGTGATTCGTCTGTTCTGGGATGCGAGAAGGTTCATCAACTCATACTGGATATGGTTTGTGTCTTGGAACTCATCGACTAGGACTGACTGGACATTCGAAACGCACTCCGGGTGCTGTCGAAGCAGCTGGGCGCACCGTAGAAGTAGATCATCGTAATCGAGTAGATTCGAATCCGCCAGATGCCGTTCGTACGCTTGGTAAACCTGAAAAAACTCCCGATGCTCTAGCACCTTAGAGCCCTTCATATGCTTCGCTTCTAAATCCTCCGGCGTCACCCCATGAGCCTTTTGATACGAAATCCGCGCGCGAGCCATATTAGGCTGGATATTGAGTTGTAGCCGCTTGACAATCCTCTACCGCACAAAGAGATCTAAGTAAGCAAATTACACCCCCAAACAACCGCAATTATTAGAAAAGCATACCCTAATAATGGCCAAACTATCCCCGGAATCTGCAATTCCAAATCCTTTCCGCAGCCCAATCAAGTACCCATAAGTCACCAAATACCGTCGACAGATGGAGTGAAACGTCCCCAGAATCAATTTCGACTGCACCCGGTCCCCAACCAATTTTGACAGACGCTCCCGCATCTCCCGGCTCGCTTTGATGGTGAACGTGCAGCAGATGACATCTTGCGGTCGATAGCCATGATGGGAGAGGAGGTACGCGACGCGCGCCGTTAAGGTCTTTGTCTTTCCTGAGCCGGGCGGGGCGAGAACTTGGAGGATCGATGACGGCGACGACACGGCGGCTCTCTGCGCAGAGTTCAACCCATCGAGTATCGAATCCATGTGTTTTGGGGATGATTTGGGCGTGTTGGGGTAGTTTGGACTTGGTGGAGGGTTGGGGAGTGACGCGCCCTTATCGCGTGGTCATGTGATTCGATGTATACTGTGAAGTATGGATGCTGTAGGTTCCTCGGTCGTCTCTCTCTAATGTGGAGGTTTTTCGAGGACGTATTCAATATTATCAGGTGATGGGCTTGAAAATATGTTAGTTTCGGGTTGTGACATTGGCCTTCGTCCAGTCTGGAGAGCGTACCCTAACTGGGCGAACAGACGTATGGCTCCATGATATACATCACAACATAGACTTGAATATCGGCCAGGTATACGACATAGCAAGTACAAGATGGCTTATATAGACGCAAGGTCTCCCGTCATGTTACTAAGTATATGAAAACAAAGAATATCTGCTGGGTACAGTAGTATATAGACCAAGCAGGGGCGGAAGTGTAGAGGATTGAGGAATTTTGCGAATGTGCAGAGCTCCCTTTGCACATCGAGGTCTAATTAGCCCCGTAGCCTGGATTAAAAGTGGTATTTAATTCGACACTGACAGATGAACGGATTGTATGATCTTCGTTAGATCTGTTTATCATTATAGATTAAGTCCATGCTGTGGACCTCTGCTGCATGGATCATATAGTCGTACTGAGCAACAGCGCAAGCATAAGTACTAGGTACAGGATGCTCTTCTCAGAAGCCATACTTTCTACTTTTATAGCATGCCCATCACGTACAGACGATGAGGTAAACACTAGCATTTTACTGACTACAGTGCCTGGGTGGTTAAGCTTAAATTATATTTGGACTCTGATCATCCGACGCACGGGCCGCATTTAATGATTTCCCCGGGCGTTAGAAATGTGTTCCTGGCGTCATTTTTTTTTGTCCTCTCCGATCTTCATCCTCTCACTTTCACCATCTACACCCTTCGGACCACCCAGAATGGGCTGGCTAGGAGTGGCTACACTCATTGCGACCGCATGTTTCCTACTTTACCGTCACCCTCCGTCCAGCTGGACGTGTGAGGCCTCCATCTCTCCACCCCCACCGAAACCAACCCTTAAAGAGCCAACCGATCGCGCCATAGATGATACGAAAGTGAAGGATGATTCTAAGTCCCTTGAAGAAAAAGACGGGAATGCAGAAGACTCCCAGTCAACACCCAAGGCGTCTGCATCGAGTCCGCCGTCCCTCGAAGTGCCCACGCTTTATCTCGACAGCGACAAGGCTGACAAGCCGGCCATCACTACCGAGAACCAGGCCGACAAAAAGCCAATCCAGAATGGATCAGCGAAGCCCTCAGAGCCGGTTACTATCGCAGTTAATAATGCTGCCATGCCTCCTCCACCACTGCCCACCGCAAGCACTTCCTCCTTAATGCCGCCGCCGCCACCACCTCGACTCCGTCCGACAATGTCCCAAACCCAACAACCCCAATCCGCCCCCGCAGGACGATACCCTCCGCGCCCAAACCCAGGCAGCTCCCTTCGTCCGCCACCGTCTGCTGCAGCGTCCCTACGTGTACCACCTTCCAGTCGCTCCACAAGCAATAGTCTGGCGCCCGTCAAACTCACCGCACAGCCTCTAATTCATCGAAGCGGGCGGTTCTCGAACCAGGCTACTCCCCCCTGGATTGGGCCGCGCTTACATCGAACCCCAAGAACAATCTGCGGGGTGCAAATCTGCCCCCAACTCTGGTCAAGGTGACGCCGTCGATGCTCAAGGCGCAGAACGGACGGAAGGGTCGCGATGCCTGGACTTCGTACCAGGGCAAGGTCTATAACATCACGCCGTATGTCCCATTCCACCCCGGCGGGAAGGGCGAATTGCTCCGAGGTGCCGGCAAGGACTCGGCGAAGTTGTTCATGGAGGTTCACCCATGGGTGAATTGGGATGCCATCCTGGGGGAGTGTCTTGTGGGCATCCTCGTTTCCGAGAACGATGGAGCGGCCGAGAATGCGCTCGATGCTATGGACTGATATATATATTTCTTTTCTGCTTTGGTTTCTCTTGAATCGTTTATAGACTTGGAGACAGCCGATTGTATTATACTAGAGGTTTCGCATGATACCCAGAGATACAGACATCTACATACATACATACATATATACATACATATACAAATCAATTTCGAAGTCACTGGTTCTCTACTTCCGGGATCAACCGACACCCATAGTAAAAGAAAAAGGAACCCCCCATTTCAATAACTAAAATCTAATAAAAAAAAAAAGAAAAAGCCTAACCCTCAAACCAAATTTTACAACTCATCCTTCGAAACACCATCAATACCCACCAACTCCGTCTCAAAAATCAGAGTCGCGCCACCAGGGATGGGCCCAACACCACGAGACCCATAGCCATACTCAGGGGGATAGTCAAAGTGCGCTTCTCACCGATGCACATATCCAGGAGACCCTCATCCCACCTTCCAACCATTAGCCTAATTAATGCCCAGGTCCCATCACAAGAAAGCCAAAACTCACCCCTTGATAACCATGCCCGAACCGACCTTGAACTTCAATGGCGAGTTGCGCTTGTAGCTAGAGTCGAACTCGGAGCCGTCGGACTGGAGCGTGCCTCTGTAGTGCATCTGGACGGTGTCGCCCTTGACGGTTTTGCGGGTGCATTCTACCTCGTGGGTCTTCTCGATGCCGAGTTCGGCGGCGGTGGAGAGGGCCGCGAGGGAGACGAGGAGGGTGGAGAAGATTGAGAAACGCATTTTGAAACTTGGGGTGTTTGGTGAGTGAGGATGTTGTTTTGCGTGAGAGAGTTGGGTGAGTTGGAGATTGGTGTTTGGTGTTTGGGGGTGGTTTGAGGAAACGTGGTTGGTTGGGTCGCTTTATGCGGAGATTAGATTAAATGCGGTCTGGCGTAACTCCGGCCTCGTCTTTTTAGGTTACCCTCGGCACCAGGTACTTTAGTATGGTATGCTAATTAAACTAACAGATTGGTTGTTGTCTACTAAATGGCGCAAAGGTAGAATAGTCCTGGAAGATTTTATAATTACTTTTAACATGTGTGAAAAGTAAATAGGAGCAAAGTTGTATTCTCGGAAATACTTAGTAGGTACAGTGAAGTCAAGTAGTGAAGCAGTCAAGCAGTCAAGAAGTGAAGAAATAGTGCAACTCAGCAATAAATCAAACAGCCTGCCGATGGGGTATATTGAACACAGTAACACAGCAATAGAACAAGATAAAATAACATAGACAATCTTAAATCAAGCCCATTTTCCAAGAAGAGCCATCAGCAAAGCACCCAAGCATAAGAGGAAGAACGCGCCCAGCACGTGTTGGATAGGCGCCTTTTTCATCGAGCTACTGAACATGAACTCGTGCGCCATAAGCTCCACGAGTGCCGTGTAAATGAGGATACCGGCGGAAATTGAATCGAAGACTCCGTTAACGATGAGAGTGGTGCGGCCCTCGGGAGGGTACGACTTGCGCACACCCAATCCGATCGCAATCGCGATTGGTGTCGACAGACCGAATGCAATGCCCAGAAAATATGGGGTAAAACGTTTCGCGCGAGGCCAGGGGATTGTAGCCAGTCGAGACCCCAGACCAAGACCTTCGAAAGTCTGGTGGAATACAAGGACGATATAGAGCGTAACGAACTCAGCACCGGATACCGCCAAGGTCAAGCCGATAAAGACAGAATGGAAAATGATACCAAATTCCAGAATGAAAATGCCAGTCAGCTGTGCCATATACTCCTCGAGAGACGAATCATGGGAAGCCCTCTCAGGGTCATGGTGGTCGCGGGAGTGACCCAGATGATCCCGGCCGGGAATATGCTTGCTGTCCAAGACCTCAGAACCACTCTCAGAGCCAGCAGTCTTGGTCTCTCTATGGTCATGGTCATGGTCATGGTCATGTTCATGCGCCAATTCATGTGCATGGCTTTGGCCAAACCGAGCATACCGCATGACCATCATCTCGACAAAGAACAGCACCACGATGGTCATTAGGATAATACCCTCGACCCATGAATATTCTGTGATCGGGCCTGTCAGGCATTCATTTTTTAACGCTTCCTCAGCAGGAGCTAACAGATGAATGAAAGCCGTAGCAATAATGACGCCGGAGCCAAAGTATTTGGCAACGAAGAAAGCCCACTCTAAATACTTCGTACGTCGAAACTGTCCGGCAAAGACCGGGAAGACAGCACCGAACATCGAGCCGACCATGATGACGAAGATAGAGGAGATACGCAAACCCATGCGACCGTCGTACTCGTTGCCTGTGTTGCAGGCAGGGGCGGGCCCCGCATCCTCATCCCGGGCGAGAAGAGTGTGTAGAACATCCATGTTGTCCCACTTCCCTAATGGATTTGGTTGACTGGAGAGATTGGCAGATGACTTTCCAAAAACCGATGCACGACGCACGGGCCAGGAGCAATAACTCGAAAAGAAACTCTCTGGCAGGCACGAGAGCCCAATAGAACTCAGAGTTGAGGTAAGAAGGAATTCGCCAATATAGAAACCACGTGGGAAACGAACGGAGACACTCGCAAGGGGGGCGAAGATTTCTTGGACTGCAAAATGCCGGTGCTTGGTATTCTTGGTATCTCAGACCAATTTATGGGTTTTCCTGCCCCGCTCCCCTTATATCAAATCTTGTTGTGCGACGAGGTGTCGACCGATGTGATTGAATGTCCGCAAGGTCCTTGAACTCCACTTCTGGTGTATGCTTAGTGTCTTTTGTATCCAACCAAACGAAGCGGCGGTAAGGATCAGGTCTCGAGGTGAGGACCTTGGAGTGTAGCGTGGGATGTATGTATGCCTAGCACGACGCAGAGTGTATGTCACTTCTCGCAGTGTATGATGAAGGACGCCTGTTTCGACGTAACAATGACTCGTTCTTTATTCCTCAGGAATCGATGTGAGGATGGTTCTAGGAGGTACTGTACACCAACGAGGAGGAAGTTGGAAGTGTCCATGGTGGAAGGGCGCTGAGATTTCGATGTCCCACTTGTGCTGGCGTGCGGTCACCGTGGACGAGGACCTTGGAGGCCAGCGGATCTGAAGACATTTTCGGACTTCTTTGAGGACCTTGGGGACGTGCTGACCCTCCTTTTCTGCCCATCTGATTGGCAACCTCTTGCTTTGTCTGTGGGGATCCATCACGTGACCCATACTAATCTACTCAACTGCGTGTTTCAATCTGTGGTTCCCGAAGTCGCTGTATCTTGGTCCAGTTCTTAGTGGATCATTTGTGTGCCATAGTACTCCTTGAAAATGGTATAAGTACCGAACATAGGGCCTTCATTAAAAGGTTAGAATGCCCATTGTGCTCTTGCCAATACTACAGGTCCATGATCTATGAGTATATCCTCCGAAGGTGATACATACAAGAAATGAACGTGGGGGTTATCGACAGGGAAAGCGGTGTAGCAAGGCCCTGGAGGGGTTGGAAAAGGCAGCCGCCTTACATAATTTACGAACTAATGATGACAACTGCACGAACTAATCATTCAGTAGGTAACAAAAACTTCTCCTGAGTGGCTAGATATACCAGAGAGTATGTAACTACCTCGAGTAAATCCAGATAAAATAACATAATCAAAGGAATACTTATGAACAGTTACGAGTAAATATTTATCAGATTCGCGACTGAGTAAACACAGCTTGGCAGAAACCTTCCGATCATGTGGAGGTTGACCGTTATGTCATACCAGTCAACCAAACCTTAGTCTCCCCTGCTTTTGAAGTTCTACTCAACTATATTGTCCCCCCTTTCCTTGGTTTATGCTCAATTCTAGCTGCGAGTTCCACTCCTACAGCTCTGAAAATATTCGGATCGCAGTATGGCTCCTATTCGTCGATACCTCAGAATCAGCAAGTATACTATCCTCGAATGCCGGATCTACCTAGAAAACCCATCGGACACTCGATGGCTCCTCGACAGCCGCGAGCCCGTCCTCCCCCGGATATTCGCTGCCATTCGCCCGCTAGTTCTGCCTAAATTACGCGAGGAGAACGAAAGGCTCTTTGCTCGGAAGAAAGGGAAACCAGTGAAAGATGTGATAGCTGAAGGTATCAAATCCGATGCTGGACCTACCGCGGAATCCGGAGAACATGCCAATCACTAACCATACAATTGATGTAGAGGACTTCGAGGTTTCGTTATTCCTCCGTGAATCCCGAACACGCCACTCGCTCCTCACGCGACACAAGGAGCTCGACGAGCCCGATAACGAATCGAGAGCAAGAAATCCATCCCAACCTACGGAAACTTCAAGCGGGGCTGCCGATGCAGGTATCTTGGTCGAGAGCGATAGCGAATCTAATGTTGATTTGCGCGACATCCCCCCAGCCACTACTGAGGAGAACGATAGAACGAGTAAACGCCAACGAGATGCAGACGGAGCAGTTGAAGCCACAGCTAGTTCACGCGCCCCGAAACGTCGAAAGGACGAGGAACCGGATGATAAGAAGTTGCGCTTCAGGACGAACTATGAGGGGTTCAACATTTACGGTTGGATTCTATGCCTACTCGTTACGCGTACAGGGGACAAAGTTAGAGCAAGCACGGAAGCTTCGGAGCCCACGCGCCAGGCTCTAATGGAGGAGTGGATGTCCACTCAAGCCCAGGGAGATGTGGATGAAGAGCAAGATGTTAGTTGATCTAGACATTTTCACCAGTCGAAACAGGAGGTATTACCATACCTGCAGCCATGCTGGGCTCGAAATTCTATGCAGCGTACACTCAGCATCCATCGCCTCGTCAGTGAAACCAGCAACCGAGCCCCAACAACTACCGAACTCGTCAAGGATAACGAAGCCAGCGACACAACCACATGGAATGAACACGAGTGGATTTGGAGAACTATTTCCTGGGTACTACTTCACGTTCATTGTAATATGACAGGTTGTAGACAAACAAACTTGCCTCGGAGCCAAGCCTAGGAAATATTTCTCCTTAGCACGCAGCCAACTGAGAGCAGCTCATGTGACACCATATTTGGAGCTGATAATGGCAACTGTTTATTCACTACGCCATAATTTTAGCAGAGATCAAGTCGACCTTGTCTACCACGTGAAATACGGGCATGCTATCCTGGCTCATTTCTACTCCTCGCCTATGAAGAGTGGCATTTTTGCGCCGAGGAACGACAAGGAAAACGTTGAGGCAGAAATCGCATGTACATGGCACTCCCTTAAATTGGCCAGTCCCTTGAACTGCGCAGCCAACTTGGATAATCTAGGTAAATACTATAGTAGGAAAACATGCCGATTGAAAATCATAATCTATTCTTTGGGTACTACAGGGCATTTAATATATATGCCATTCACAGGAGTAGTAGAGTAGTCCTTATACTGGTATGAGCGAATCTCGTGGTACCCATTATTGATTTGCTTCAGAAAGCCCTATGTAGATCCGGCGCATCTCTGAATAGATATATTTATTCAAGCGTGTATGGGATCCGTCTTTGCTTTGGATTTCTGTTCAGATTCCTTGCTCTCGGGCTCATAGTCTCGCGTTTTTCGGCTACATATATGTATAATACCCTAACCCTATCGGATACCTCTCTTCTCACTGGTATTTATATAAAATACTCTAACATACGAGATGACACCTATCGTTCCGTTTGCTCTCCTGCAAGATCTTCTTGATGTACAACTCGGGTCACACACAACAAGCACATTCCACACCCCACCATATTGATATATATACTTATCACCGAGTTTCTCATGCACAAGTACTTCAACAGAACGATGTCCGCAAATGACCCTAAAAGTGGTAATTCTTGTCAAAGATTTCACCTCCTCATACAATTTCACCGTTTGCTCCGCAGAGCCTATTCAA